GCTTATTCTGTGCATAAACGTATGCTCACCTCGGTGCTGATATTGAGGTCGCACCTAGGTTCACACAGTCTGCATCTTTATTGGTCATCTCAATAAGAAGTTCAATATGCGTCGAACAGGATAAGTATCAAAGGACGAATGTCTGACCATCATCGCATTTCAAGCTTTTACAGCTAATATACGTTAGTCATGAACATTAAATATAATTGCATGATGAAACCAAAAGATTAATAAACGACTCTTACAGTTATCACATGATTAACAAAGGCTTATGCTTCACGTTAGGCTTAAACATGAAAAACCATTTAGTCCCATTGAATCTTGAGAAATGGCCACATCATCAGCTTCCTTGCTTCTGTCTTTTATCGTCTTCTTCCCCAAACCTTGAGCTTGAGAATATGAGAGAGATCAAAGCAAAGGATCATCCAATTACAATAATCTGAATCTTTCATATTCCCTTCGAAATTCTCGTCCTCCTTCGATTCGCAGATTACTCCATCACTGTATGATTATTACCGGAGATTATCACGATCGTCTTTCAACGCTCTATGTATTAATCAAGCTTCGTTTGCTCCCAGTCACTATTTCTTTTTAATTTTCATCGGTCCAGATCCGAACAATACATTCAATAAATATTGAATTCGCTGCTTAATTCGAATTCTATCTCTCTGCTCATCACTTGGAGAGGCATTGTTCTTCTTCAAACAAGTAAGAGTGACTTCAAAGTTCAATCTCTCTCTCTTTTGAGAAGAAGAAGAAGACGAAGAAGAAGAAGATGATTCCTTGGGGTGGAGTTACCTGCTGCCTGAGCGCTGCCGCTCTTTATCTTCTCGGCCGGAGTAGTGGCAGGTTTGTGATTTTCTTACTTCCGTTCAATCTCCATTGATTTCATTGAACCCAAAAAGTGTAGAATATAAATCAAATCCCCTGTTATCCTCCTTTGATTGCAGGGATGCTGAAGTACTCAAAACTGTCACTAGGGTTAGCCAGCTTAAGGAATTATGTAATTTTCTCGCCAAATTGCTTCTTCTACTCTCTCTTTTTCTATCTTCTGATCAGTGATTCTTGATGTTGTTTCCAGATTGCTCTGTATTTGGCAGCGCAATTGCTAGAGTTAGATAGCAGCAAGCTCCTGCCTTTCATTGTGGCGGTATCAGGAAGAGTTGGCTCTGAGACACCTATCAAGTGTGAGCATAGTGGCATACGCGGTGTTATCGTCGAGGAAACGGTATGTGTAGACTGATAATTAGGATTTAGGCATGGAACCTAGTTTGGTTTTGCGGTTTTTCATCAGTTACATGGTCATTTTCAGGCGGAACAACATTTTCTGAAACACAATGAGACGGGTTCTTGGGTACAAGATAGTGCATTGATGCTTTCAATGAGTAAGGAGGTTCCTTGGTTTCTGGTAAGTCAATTATATATCTGTTTTGCAGCTGTGATTGGATGTTTCTTAAAACCATTTCGTAAAATTCCAAAACTTGTTTGCAAATAGGACGATGGGACAAGTCGTGTCCATGTGGTGGGAGCTCGTGGTGCAACGGGATTGGCCTTGACTGTTGGAAGTGAAGTATTTGAAGAGTCAGGGTGTTCACTTGTACGAGGAACACTTGATTATCTCCAAGGCCTCAAGGTTTTCGCTTTTCTTTCTGGTTCTTTTTTTGTTGGCCTCTCTGTTTGCTTAAGCAGCCAATCGTTTTGTTTCAGATGCTTGGAGTAAAGCGCATTGAGCGTGTTCTTCCAACTGGAATGCCGTTAACCATTGTTAGTGAGGTCTGTTGTATTTCTGAGTGTTTTCGTTTCATATACTTTGCTTAAGTTGTATCAGTTGATAGATAAATGGCTTACTAACTCCTTCACCGGTTGGAATTTGCCTTTTGGAAAATTTCTTAAAGATTCCTGTTAAAGAAGCTGGATCGTTCTTTGTACCTTAAATCTAATTTCTGTTTCTGCCATGTATGATAGGCGGTCAAGGACGATATTGGAGATTTACGGATTCAGAAACCTGAAAGGGGGCCTTTCTACGTCTCTCCTAAATCACTCGATCAGCTCATTTCTAATTTGGGAAAATGGTCAAGGTCGTCTCACTCTCCTCTCTTGGTTCTTCTCTTATACTCTTGCAGAAAAATGAGCCTAGCTGAATGATAAGAGTCTAATTTGCAGGTGGTACAAGTACGCCTCCATGGGTTTAACTGTTTTTGGTGTGTTTCTAATAACAAAGCATGTAATTGATTCTGTTCTAGAGAGAAGACGACGGCGAGAGTTACAAAAAAAGGTTTGTCACAGATTTGTCAGTCTAGAAAGTAAATAGTCGTCAACGAGTATATGTTGATACCGAGTATCACACAAAGAGTTTTTATTGATGTTATAGCTGAATTCAAGATGAGCTGCCTACGTACCCTTGAGAAGGGATCAAGCCATTCGTAGTTCTATTATTAAAGTTGTGTATGATCTTTGAAAGAAGAGGAGTCTCTTCTATTTATAGGGTTCTGAAATCGGTCTCTCTGGACGATTTCGTTTTTCTATTTGGATTTGGATTCGGGAATATTTCCTTTTCTTGGATAAGATTAAAAAAATATTCCGTAAAGTTTTAGATGTTAATGTCAATATTGTAAATCGGGGTTTAGAAGACCATAAGCTTTTAATGGGCTGAATATCTTTTGGATATAAACCATCGTAAATCGGGATCAATTAGGCCGATCTCGGTTCATACCGGACTAAACCGGGGGTGCGGAGTACACCACCAACAGTAAGCCCCCCCTTCAGTCCGGCGAAAGAGTATGTGTAAGAGTTCGGCGGATTTCATGAGTATTTTTAGTCCGGTGTGAATTGAGATTGGACTTTTGCGAGGCTGTTTGCTCGGCTTATATGAGTTTCAACTCAATCTGTTGCGAATTGCGATAACTCGGCTTACATTTGCGAGTGTTGAGAACTCGGCTAACGGTGCGAATCTGAGGTGTTCGGCTTAATTTGTGCGAGTTAAATGAACTTGGCCTGGGGGACCCAAGTGAGCTTTCTCGTGCTGGAAGAGTGAAGTTCGAACTCTTGTAAACACACGATACGGACTCAAGGTTTCCTAAGTCGAACCAGAGTGTGCGAGATGGGTTCGGCTTATTGTTCTCGGTAACTTAGGAATATAAATGTGCAGGACTGGCCCCGGCTTAATGATGTGGAGTTTACCACGACACCATGTGGGTGTTAGCAAGACGGATCTCAGTTTTTAGGTTGCATTGTTGAGAAATGTTATCGAACAACTGGTCAGGAAGTCGATGTAATACCGATGAGTTCGGTTGGGACTGCGAACATGTCAGTTCGGCTTGGAGAGACGGACCCTGAATTTCAGAGGAGCTCGGTTGATGAGCTAGAAGAGGTTTGAGCGCGGTATAGCTCGGCAGATGAGTGTATTCTAAGATGACGGACTCAAGTCGATGAATTGAACTTGTCTGACTAAATGAGCTGTTGTACCGAACTGAAACTAACAAAACTGATCTGATCTGAAATGAACTGAATATGATATGCTGAAATTCTGAGCCGAACTAAAAATCTGAATCAAAACTGAAATTCTGAAATTCTGAATTTGACGAACTCAAGTTGACGAACTGAAGCTGAATTGAACTGAAATCCGAAATCAACGAACTCAAGGTATTGAACTGAAATTCCAAACTCAAAATTAATGAATTGAATCTAAACCAAACTGAAAATCTGGGTCGAGATGAAATTCTGAACCAAGCTGATATTTGAAAATGACGAACAGAAGCTGCTGACGAGCCGAAAATAAGGAACTGAAGCTATCTGAACTGAGACTGACAAACTCAAACTGACGAGCATGTCAATCATAGTTGAGTTGGGAAAGGTGCTGAAGTGTGAGCTCGGAGCTCGTCTAAAGAGTGCTTTGGAGAAGCTTTTGCGAACTAAAATTTTTTTTTCTTTTGCGAACCGTAGCTCGGCTTGGAGGGACGGACCCTGTAATTGAATGGAGAATGTTTTGAATAAAGAATTTTGAAAGATGATACCTGGAGTTGGGGAGCTCGGTTTGACGAACCAAGATGGATGGTGTGTCAAGTAGCTATTCACGTGAGTCTCATCCTCCTCGAGCAGAAGTAGTAGAGAATGTTGAGTTGAGAAGTATCGAGTTGAATGGAACTCCGAAGTGAATCATATGTTGTAAAAATCAAATCACCATGTTGTTGTATTAAATTTGATAAAAGATGTCAATAATGACTTGCGTCAAGCGTCTTAGCCGGAGCTGCCCTTTTTTTTGTAATTCTGTGATATTTTGAATAAAATGGTGAAGATATTTATTTATCTTTGAGATATTGAATTAGTAAGGATGATGATACTTAGCTTTTTTTGTTGCTGGTGTGGGATTGTGAAGCTCGGTTCGTTAATGTTCAATCTTTTAACGGAGACGACGTCAAAAAGCAGAGACGAAGCTGGTTTAATTTCACATTTTGCTTTTGCGGAGCTCGGCGAGATGACGCCAGAAGATTTTCCAGAGTTGCGTGAATATTTTCGCCGTTCCTTTGATGAATGTCGAGCTCGGGACAGGGTTTTAAAGTCGGCTGAGTCTTCTCGGTGAAGCCATTGTTCTGAAGATAAGGCTTATGGAGAGTTCTTCTAAGATTACGGCAAAGATTAGGGGGAGCCGATCCAAAATAATTGTTGGAGCTGAGATCATAAGAGTCTTGTCCCCTCAGTTGTTCACAGGTGTTGGCTTCTTCTCGTTTTTGCAACCTTATTTCTTTGGTGTCTAGCTTGTCGGTACAGGTGGTGGAGGAATCTCTTCTCCGAAAGTTTTGGGAAGTCGTGAATCTTTCAAATTTTCCGAGCTTCTTCATCGAGAAGGAGATCGTCGAGGATGGTGAAGACTGAAGACTATGAGCTTTAATCTTTGTTTGGGCCAAAATATGGGCCTGATTTCTCAAAATACCAGATGGGCCAAAATCTGCTTGAGCCTAGTAGAACAGACAATTTGATTCCTTGATGTCGGCTTTGATTTTGTGGCAGGTCGGCGGTAATTAGCGATGGCGGAGCTCCGAGAAGCTCAAATTTGTGGCGGATTGCTGTTTAACTTGATGGGATAATGAATCGTTGATGTCGGCTATGATACTATGATAGTTCTTTTGATACTTGGATCGATCTTATTGTCGAGAATCTCCACGTGCTGGTCCAAACTTACTCATCGTCTCTTTTGACTTTTGCAAGGTTAGTGATTTTTGCAATGGAGATAACATCTTGAAAAATAAAAAACGGAGATGGCACTGGGCTTTGGGCTTGTTTGAGTTTCTTCTCTGTTTTTCTTTAATTTCCATGTTGATGACATGAGCATTGGAAGAGATGCAGGTCGGCCTGAGACGTTGTCCTGCAGGATGAGGACTGCTCGAAGATGACCGAAGCGTGATGTAGTGACGAACCAGGACTTTGAGGTGTCTCATAGCCCCTACTCCCTCTCTTTTTTTTTTTTTTTTTTTAAAAAAAGGAAAGGATTGCAGATTTAC